AGCTTCTGCACAGCAAAAGAGACAATAACAAAAACAAAGAGAAACCCCACCAACTGGGAGAACATTTTTGCACCCAACACTAATGATAAAGGACTGATCACAAAAATCTGCAAAGAGCTGATGAGACTCAGCAACAACAAAAAAATAATCCAGTCAAAAAATGGGCAGAAGAGCTAAAAAGAAACTTCTCTGAAGAGGAAATGCAAATGGCCAACAGGCATATGAAAAAATGTTCAACATCACTTGCCATCAGGGAAATGCAAATCAAAACTACCATGAGATACCATCTTACACCAGTGAGAATGGCACATATTAAAAAAACTAGCAACAACAAATGCTGGCGAGGGTGTGGAGAAAAAGAACTCTTCTGCACTGTTGGTGGGAGTGCAAACTGGTCCAACCACTGTGGAGAGCTGTGTGGAGATTTCTGGACCTACTAAACATAGAGCTTCCATATGATCCAGCAATTCCACTCCTAGGTATTTACCCAAAGGACACAGAAACATCAATTCCAAAGAACACCTGCACCCCTATGTTTATAGCAGCACTGTTTACAATAGCTAAGCTTTGGAAACAACCCAAATGCCCAAAAATAGATGACTGGATCAAGAAGATGTGGTACATATATACCATGGAATATTACTCAGCATTCAAAAAAGATAAACACATGCAATTTGCAGCAACATGGATGGCGCTGGAAGGGATCATGCTCAGCAAAATAAGCCAAAAAGAAAAAGAAAAATACCGGATGGTCTCACTCATAGCAGGAATCTAGAAAACTTAAATAAGGGACCAGGAAAATGAATAACTATAAGAAAGTGAAAATCAAAATCAACAAAAAACTATGAACCAGAGACACTTTTAGGGGGGCGGGGGCGAGGGGAGGGATTGGGGTCAGAATGGGGGGGCTGCAATTGTATGGGGAATATAACAATAAAATTTATTAAAAAAAAAATAAAAATAAAATGGGGGTATAAATACACAGCAGGTTACCAGGGGAGAAACGGCTCCACAGAGATTACAACATGAACAATAGGATAGGGCACATTACATCTATGTGTTTCCCAAAGATGAAAGGCACAGAACAAAACACTAAGAGATGAGTGCACCCAGAAATTTTTTTTTTTTTTTTTGGTTTAGGCTTGTCAAATATGGCCTTTATTATCTCAGGTATGCTCCTTCTACATCTATTTTTAATGAAAACTTTTTTCCCTTCATTCGTTTTATTTTTTAAATTTAAATTTATTTTTATATTCCCCATAAAATTACAACCCCCATATTTTGACCCCAATCCCTCCTTTCCACACTCCCTACCCCTTATAGAGTGTCTCTGGTTCATAGTTGTTTGTTGATTTTGATATTTTCTTTCTTATAGTTATTCTTTTGAAACATATTGAGTGTTACACTGAAAAGCCTATGTTCATTGTTGAAAAGCGTTTGTAAACATGAAACTGAGAATTCAACGTGTACTGCATATAGACATTGTTTTCTTTAATGTAATAATGCGCATAGATTGAAATCAGTACTAGGCACATATAGTGGAAGAAATCCGAGCAGATCTTGTGTGTTAGACATCATGTATTTATAAAATACATTCTGTTTGAATGATATCAGGGTCCTGTCCAGAACAACAATTTAGCATCCACTCCAGATGAAAAAAAATGCCTCTCTAATATCTCTGCATTTTAGTGTCATATGCAAGGGGATGTGAGAGAAGCCCCAGGCACGGGCTGAGTGAGTACATGATAGGAATTAAGGTAAGATGTCTGCAGTACCAAAATAAAACTGGGGATTATATGCATATAGAAGGAAGTAAATGACATGAGGCAGAATATTCTGAGGTATTTAAATTTTTCCAAAGGAAATGGGCTTTGAAAACAAGTGGGAAAAAGAGTCTGAGGTCAGGGAACAAACAATGAGTGGGACCATTACTGGTGTAAATTCAAGAGTGAATACAAGGGAAACTCGGGATAGATAGTTCTGTGGCCCTTAAAGAGCTCATGGCATACCATGGTGGGTCACAATTCTTCTTGTTTGACTAGTTTGCAATGCACAACCATGATGACTTAGAATTTCTGTAACATTGACTTCTTTTCTAATTACCTGCATTTGACACACAATGATCAGCAAAGTGAAGGGAAATTCAAAAATTCATATGATCAATAAAGCAAACCTCCCCGATTGTGTCCGTTATTGAATTTAATCTATGTATTTAATTTATGAATAGATATTGATTAGATATTAAAGTATTGATTGCAATGCATCTCCTCCTCACAGTCACTAAACAAAGGAACTAGAAAAGTAAACAATTTCAAACACAGGATATAAAACTACAGATAGGAGTCTACTAGAAGATGAGCAAAAGGGATTGTGCAGAGAACAAAACCAGGACAGGACCTAAGATCTACAGTAAGGCAATACTGGCATTGGTGATGGGTGTCGGGCAATACCATACATCTGATGAGACGGGAACATATCGCCCAAATCATACCCAAGATGGGAAAACAATGTTCTCCCTATGAGAGACCAAAACTCATTTGTCCCCATCATTAAACTGTCAGCAGTCCTTATCTATAATGGTGAGATAGTTTTTGCCTGACAACTGCAATGTGCTGTTTGATTTAAAAAACACAATCACAGCTAATTTTCCTTGAACCTTCAAGAAAGAGTTAATTTTAACCTGGTGACACTCTCATCTGGTTCATGTCTCCTGCCATCAACATTCACTGGAAATACAACAACAGGCTTCACACCAGCTAGACCCTCAGATACCGATCAGGACACAGAATCACATTGGTGACTCTTTGGTGTCAGGCACCCTACTTTAAAGTGCAAAGGTGTACCTCATGGTTTCAAAGAAATCTACTAATAAAGCATAACAAAACAACTATTACAAAATTCCAACACACCCATCTTCACTCATGTATACATTCTTAAAATCATGATGAATTAATAACCATAAGAAAGGAAAATCCTCCCTTTTTCAAAGCCACTAGTACTATTTGATACAATGTGATAGTTTTTTAGAGTACATTTAGGACAGGTTGTAAGTGAGCACCAGGGAGGCTGTAATAATGGGTACAAAAATACAGAAAGACACCAGGCAAGGAGCTGGGGGAGAAACCATATGACATGGAGATTACAAGGTAAGCACTAGATAGGGCACATCACATCAATGTGTTTCCCAAACTTGACAGGATAAGAGTAACATTTTGAATGTTGAGTGCACCCAGAAATTTTGAAACATATTGAATGCTACACTGAAAAGGTGATTTCACTGTGGAAAACTACTGATGCTTAGACAGGAGACTAATAATTAAATGTGTACTGTTCTTTGGCTTTTATTTTTATAATGTACTAATGTGCACCTGATTAAAAAATATATGGGAACATATACTGGAAGAAATCTGAGAAATTCTTGTCAGTGAAATAGATTTACTTTCAAATATTCAATACACATATCTCGGGAATGACTCAGGGTCATCCAAATAAGTTGTACCTCATCAGTTTCCTGAACTAAGAACAGCAATTTGGATTTATCCACGGACAAAAAAAAAAATTGCCTTTCTGACCTGAGTGATCTACTACCAGATACCCAGAGAGGAGCCCAGCTGCAGGTGCAGTGAGAACATGCCAGGCATTAAGATAGGATCTGAGCAGAAATAAAACTTTGGACACCTTTAGCATTTTCAAGGAAATAAAAGTCATGGGACAGAAGATCATGGGATACTTCAATTTGTCTAAAGGAAATGGGATTGAAAAGAAACAGGAAAAACAGACTGAGGTCAAAAAACAAGAAATGGAAGGGGGGTACCTAGTAAGTGAGGTCTCCCTCTGAAATTACCAGAGCCTAGAGTCAAATGAAAATACTATGTGGTGGGGGCCTCCCCAGTGGCGCAGCGGTTGAGCGCTGGGTTGCGAAGCTGCCCGCGGCCTCTGCAACACTGGTTCGCTCCCCGGCCACCAGAGGAGGGTTCCACATGGCGAGCAGACCTCTCCTGCAGCCCGTTGCTCCCCTCAGTAGTGTATTTCGGTCCTTCTGCCTGCTCTGCTCCCCGCTCTGGTGAATTCTCTCACCCTCCCGTGCTTCTGACTGTACCCAGTGCATATATAAACAAACAAACAAACAAATAAATAAATGAAACATGCCTCTATTAAAAAAAAAAAAAGAAAGAAAATACTATGTGGTGGCACAATGGTTTCCATTGAGGCAGACATTGCCCATGGGTCTAAAAAAGCATGTTTTGTTATCATAGAGTGAAAAATCTTTGTAATCTTTAGAAAGCAAGTTTGGAGCAGGCATGAATGGGCCCATTACTGGTGAAAGTTCAAGAGTGAAAACAAGAGAAACTGGGTATAGATAGTTCTGTAAGCCTGAAAGAGCACATGGGATACACAATTCTTCTTATTTGAATAGTTACAAATACATAATAATGATTATTTGGTATTTCTTTAATAGTCTGCTTCTTTTCTAACCACCTGATGTGACACACAATGGTCAACAAAGTGAAGGAAAATTGAAAAAAAAAAAAAGATCATTACAGAAATAATATCTTGATTGTGTTTCCTTTTATTGACTTGAATCTATTTACCGAATTTATGAATTGATGATGGATAGATATTAAAGTATTTACTGCACTGCCTCCACAGTCACTAAGCTAAGGAACTAGAAATCTGAAAAAACACAGAACATACAACTGAAGCACAAGGGGTTGGGAGGAGAATAAAATAGGGATAGGGCCTAGTGTCTATAGTAAAGCATTATGGGGCATTAGTGGTGGGTGTCAGACACCACAGTCACCTAATGAGGTGTGAACATGTCCCCTAAAGCACACACAGGCTTGAAAACAACACTGTCTCGATGAAGTGACAAAAACACAATGATCTACATCATTAAACTTTCATCAGTGTTTGCCTATAATGGTGACAATTTTGCCTTGGCATGACAAAAACAATCACAGCTCATTGTCCTTGAACCTTAAAGGAAGAGTTGTTTTTACCTTGTGCCATTCTTATCTGGTTCTGGTCTTCCGCCGACTACATTCACTGGTATCACAACAGGCTTCGTACTGGCTAGACCCGCAGATTCTGATAAAAATGCTGAATCAAATTGGGTTGTCTTCTTCCTGTTGTCAGCAACCCTACTTTAAAAGAAGAAACCATGTAAACTTCATGTTTTCTAAGATAAAGTGTAATGAAACAACTTTTACAACATCCCAACATTATCCACCTGCATTCACTGATATATTCTTAAAACCATGATGAAGTAATAACCATAAGCAAGGAGGATACTCTTTGCTTCAAAGCCACATGTACAATTATGACACAATGTGATAGTTAAGAGCACATTTAGGACATGCTGTAAGTGAGCACCTGGGAGGCTTTATACAGCGGGTAATAGAAATACCGGAGTCCACCAAAGGCACTGGTGGAGAAACCACTCTACATAGACAATAAAACGTAAACAGTAGCACAGGGCACATCCCATCTCTGTGTTTCCTAAACTTGAAAGGGAAAGAACAGGAACTGAGAGTTCAGTGTACCGAGAAATTTTAAAACATATTGAATGCTACACTGAAAAGTCTGAGTTCACTGTGAAAACTGATGGATGCTTAGACAAGAGACTACTAATTAAATGTGTACTTTTCTTTGGCCTTTGTGTTTTTTCAATGTAAAAATGTGCACCTAATTGAAATAGTACTAGGAACATATATTAGAAGATCTCTGATAAATTCTCATGGGGGAAAAAAGATTTATTTTTAAAATATTCCATGTACAAATCATGGAATGACATCAGTGTCATGTCCAAACTTAGTTTCCCCTACCCAAAATAACAATTTGACATCTGTCATGGACAAAAATTATTGCCTTTATGTCCTCAGTGACCTAGAACCACACATCATGAGAGGAGCCCCAGCTGCAAGTGCAGTGAGTACAGGTCGGGAATTAAGATATCTGTAGTGTAACTATAACTTCGAACATCTTTAGCATATTCATAGAAGTAAAAGTCATGGACAGAAGACCTGGGATACTTCCATTTGTGCAAAGGCAACGGGGTTGAAAAGAGGTAGGAAATACAGATTGAAGTCAAAGCACAAGAAATGGATGCAGGATGCCAGGTAAGTGAGTTCTCCCCTGAAATTACCACAGCATAGAGCCAAATGAAGAAATTATGTTGAAGGAGAGTGATTTCCATTGAGGCAGACAGAGCCCATGAGTCCAAAAAGGTATGTGTCAATATCACAAAGTGAAAAATCTGTGGCAAACATTAGAAAGCAATTTTTGAAGCAGGAATGATTGGGACCATTACTGGTAAAAGTTCAAGAGTGAAAACAAGAGAAACTTGGAATAGGTAGTTTTGTAGGACTTAAGAGATCACGGCATACTATGGTAGGTCACAATTCTTTGTTTGACTAGTTTGTAATACACAATCATGATTATTTAGTATTTCAGTAATATTGGTAATAGCCTACTTCAAAATTCATAGGATCATTAAAGCAAATTAATTCAAAAATTCATATGATCATTGAAACAAATTCATATGATCATTAAAGTCTCCTGATTGTGTTTCCATATAGAATTTAATCTATTTATTGAGCTTCTGAATGGATGCAGAAAGATAGTAAAGATGTATGCAATGCATCTCCTCCTCACAGTCACAAAACAAAGGGACTAGAAAACAAGACAAAACAAGCCAAGAATATAGGACTACAACTGAGTGCACTAGAAAATGATCACAAAGCATTGGGGGTTAGAACAAAACAGGGAGGGGACCAAGGTCTACAGTAAAGCAGTACGGATATATTGGTGGTTGCTGTTGGCAGTAATATTCATCTGATAAGGTGGAAACATATCTCCCAGAACATACACAGGCTTCAAAAACAATGCTCCCTCTATGCAGTAACCAAATACTTACTGGTCCATATCACTCAAGTATTAGGTGTTATTTGTCTGATAATGGTGAGGATTTTCACCTTGGCTTGAAAGTGCAATATGCTATTTAATTTCAGAAGAGCAGTCACAGCTAATTTTCCTTGAACCTTGAAGGAAGAGTTGATTTTTACCTTGTGACATTCTTATCTGGTTCCCATCTCCCACCATCCATATTCACAGGAATCACAGCAGGCTTCGTACTGGCTAGACCCACAGATTTGGTTGAAAGCCTTGAATCACTTTGGCTTGGCTTGTTCTGTTTGTCTGAAAACCTACTTTAAAGGAAGAAACCATGTAAACCTCATGGTTTCTAAGAAATCTACTCATTAAATATAATAAAACAACTGTTAAAAAATTCCAGCACTATCCATCTTTATTCATTGATATATTCTTAAAACCATGAGGAAGTAACACCCATGAGCAAGGAAAATACTCCTTGCTTCAAAGTCACATGTACAATTGTGATACACAATGTGATAGTTAGAGTACCCTGTAGGTAGCAACTGGGAGATTTGACAGCATAGGCAAAAAAGAAAACAACAAATACAGCAGGTCACCAGGGAAGCAGTTGGAGGAGAAATCTTGCCACAGAGATTACAATGTAAACAATAAGATAAGCACATCACATCTCTGTGTTTCCTAAGGGTCATGCCTAAATGTTTGGACATGTACCTCATCAGTTTCCCCACCAAGAACAAGAATTTGGCATCACCCATGGACAAAAAATAATTGGATTTGTGAGGTGAACAGTCCAGTACATACACCCAGGGATCTGAGAGGAGCCATGGCTGCAGGTGCTGGAATGCATTCCAGAAATTAAGGTATGAGATCTGTTCTGTAAAATAATTTGTCAGATCATGAGCATATTCATGAAGTAACATTTGAGATAGAAGATCTCTTGGGAGACTTCCATTTGTCTATAGGAAAGGGGGTTGAAAAAAAATAGGTAAAACAGACTGAGGTGGAAGAACAAGATATGGGGGGGAGGGCATCTGATAAGTATGTTCTCCCCTTCAAAATACCAGAGCCCAGAGTGAAATGAAAAAAATTATGTTGGAGAAGAGAGTGTTTCATTGAGGCAAATAAAGCCCATCCATCTAAAATGGGATCTGTCAATACCTTAAAGTGGAAAATCAGTGGTAAGCTTTAGAAAGCAATACTAGAGGGACCTCCCTGGTGGCTCAGGGGTTAAGTCTCAGCACTATCCAGCTATCTCCAGCCACTGTAGCCTGAGATTGATCCCTGCCCAGGGAGCTACCCACATGGTGCAGCTGGCCACCCCTCTCTCACCTGCTGTGCCCCTCAGCAGTGTATTTCTGCAGATCTGCCTGTTCTGCTCCCCATTCTGTCTCTGGTGAATCCTCTCAATCCCTACACCCCTGGCCTATACCCCGATTCTTGTATTCATAAAAACATAAAATGAATACTTTAAAAAAAAGCAAGTGAGCTTTAGGAAAGGACATGTATAGGAAAATTACTGGTGTAAATTCAAGAGTTGAAACAAGAGAAATTGGGGGTAGATCTGTAGGTTTTGTTGGCAACATGATACATGTGGTGGTTCACATTGTCTTTGTTTGACTGTAGTTTGTAATACCTACTCACGATTAGTTAATATTTCTGCATTAGTGTACTTTTTTTTCTAATCACATCTAGTGACACCAATTGTCAACAAAATGGTATAACAATTCAAAAAATTCATGTGATCATGTAAGCAAAAGTCTCCTGAATGCATTTGCATTGATTGGAATGAATATATCTATTGAATTTATGAATGGATGCTTAATTGAAATTAATGTGTTTATAGCAATACATCTCCTCCACATAGGATAAATTAAGCCAAACAAACCAGGATACAGGACTAGAGGAGTGAGTCACTAGAAGAGGAGCACAAGGGATGGGGGGATGGGAACTTTAGGGGGGAGCCTAAGGTCAAGAGCAAAGCACTAGGGCTATTTGGGTGGTGAATTTCATGTGGTAATGTAGCATCTGATGAGTGTGAACTTACTCCCTAAATGTTACACAGACTTGGAAAACAAGGTTCCTTCTATGAATTGACCAAATGCTCACAGGGCACGCTGTCCACCTTTCAGTAGTATTTGTCTGACACTAGTGATAGGTTTTTGCTTTGGCCTGTCCACTACAACAGGCTCTTTCATTTCAGAAAATCAGTCACAGCTAATATTCCTGTAACCAGAAAGGAAGAATAGAGATTTTACTTTGTGACATTCTCATCTGGTTGATGTTTCCCGTCATTGACATTCCTTGGAACTACAGCAACAGGTTTCCTAATAGATAGGTCCAAAGATTTTGAAGACCTTACATCACTTTGGCTTTCCTTTACTACTTTCTTCTGTAGCTCAGGAACCCTACTTAAAAAAAGAAATCATGTAAGTTCATTTTGTTTACGAAATCTACTGATAAAGACTAATAAAACACTGGGCCTCCCTGGTGGCGCAGGGGTTACGACGCGGCCTGTGAAGCAATTCACACCCACTGCAGCACGAGTTCAATCCCCGGCCAGGGAGCAACCCACTTGGCACAGCAGACCTCTTCTATCTCACCTGCTGCTCCCCTCAGCAGTGTATTTCACTCAGTCTGCCTGTTCTGCTTGCCACTCTGTCTCTGGTAAATCCTCTCGCCACCCCCGCACCTCTGGCCTGTACCCCAGTTCTTCTATGCATAAATAAATAAATCTTTAAAAAAGATTATAAAACCAATCTTGCAATATTCCAAACTTGATCCATTTTCATTCATTGATATATCTTAAAACCATGATGAAATAATAACCACAAGCAAGGAGTATGTGATAGTTAAGAGTATATTTGATACAATGAAATAGTTAAGAGTATATTTATGACATGCTGTAAGTGAGCACCCAGGGGATTTTAAAAGTGGGTACAAAAATACAGCAGGTCATCAGGCAAGGAGTTGAGAGAGAAACCACTCCACATGGATGTAACAAATACAAGGATATGGCACATGACATCAATGGGTTTCCTATACTTGAGAGGGAAAGAACAAAACACTGAGAGTTGAGTGTTTTGGGAACACATTGAATGCTACAGAAAATTTGAAACATATTAAATGCTCCACTGAAAAGTCTGTGTTCACTGTGGGAAAGAAATTAAGTTTAGACATGGATCTATTAATTAGATGTCCAGTATTATTTTGAATTTGGCTTTCCATGTAATAATGTGCACTTGTTGAAAAATAGCATTAGGCCTATATAATATAATGGAAGAAAGCCAAAAAATATCTCATGGGGGAGAGCAGATTTAGTTTTAAAAAACACATACTTGGAATGATATCATGTTCATGAACAACTAAGTTGTACCTCATCAGTTTCCCCTACAATGAATAAAAATCTGGCATCACCCATGGACAGAAAATGACATTCTGGGATCTTTGTGTTCTAGCACCATACACCAAGATATCTGAGAGGGGCCACAGGCACAGGCACTGTGAATACATTCCAGGATTAAGATAAGAGAACTGCAGTGTAAGTATAAATTTGGGGGTCATCAGCATATACAAGGAAGTAAAGGTCATAGGAGAGAAGACCATGAGATAAATTAATTTGTCTAAAGGTAAAATGGAGTTGAAATGAAATAGGAAAAACAGACTGAGATGGAAGAATAGGATACGTGAGGGGGACACCCAGAGAGTTCTCCCTCTGAAAATAACTTTTGAGTGTCAAATGAAGAAATGATGTTGGAGGAAAGAGATTTCCATTGAGGTTGATATAGCTCCTGGGTTTAAAAAGGTATGTGTCAATTCCTTAAACTGAAAAATCAGTGGTGACCTTTCGAGACCAATATTGCAGGGTGGGTGATTGGGAAAATTACCAATGCAAGTTCAAGAGTGAATTCCAGAGAAAGTGGTAGATAGACAGTCCTGTAGTTCATATTAGCTAAGTGGCATGACCAGGTAGATCCATTTTCTTCCTGTTTGACTGTAGCCTGCAAAACCCTGTTATGATTATTTACATTTTTCAGTACTCCCTCTTTTTTTTTTTAAATCACCTTCCTGTGACCCTCAGTTAAAACAAAAAAAGACAATAAAAATTTAAGAGAATTCATAAAATCACATCAGCAAAGACTCTTGAAAATGGTCCAATTTACTGAATACAACTTAAGTATTCAATCCATGAATAGACATCTATGAAACAAATCATTTCTTTTGAATACAGCTCCCCTCCAAATCCCTAACCAAAAACTGGCAAACATAAAAATAACGAGAATATAGGACTGAAGAATTCAGGCTACCAGGGAGAGAATGTAGGAGGGATGTGAACACATAGGCATGGGGGCCAAATATTCTAGGATAGAGTGCTCTGGATGCTTTGGTGGTGTGTGTTGTGAAGTAACATACATCTCAAGCAGTATGAAACCATTAAAAAAAGAAGTATGAAACTGTGCCCTAATTCATACACAAGCTTGTAAATCCATGTCCCTTCTATGAAGAAGCCAAAAACTGAATGGCCCACATGATTCACCGTTCAAAATTATTTGTCCTAAAGAGTGAGATTTTTCTTTGCTTCTCCCATTCACTACATTATCCTGTTTGATTTGCTTAAAAGCAATGACTGGTCATATTCCTTTGATATGAAAGGAAAATTTATAGATTTCACCTTGTGGCATCTTTTCAAATCTCCTGTCCTCCACACCCACAGCAAGTGCAGCTGTTCTCGTCTTCTCCTTATTCCCTGAGAACACAACAGCGGCCTTCACACTGGCTACATCCATAGATTCTACTGAAGACCATGAAATACTTCCATTTCCCTTACTCCCATGTTAAGCAAGCCAGAACACCTATTTTTTTTAAAAAGGAAACTTTGAACATCTAATATTTTATAATATCTCTACTTATAATGGTGAACGAGAACTTTTGTAAAATGCCAACTCTTACCTATCTTCATTCATTGATTATTCTTAAGATAGTGATAAAGTCACAACCATAAGCAAGGAAACACATTCCTTGCCTCAAAGGCATGCGTATAATTTGGATTCAATCTGAGGGTAACAGTACAATATATGACATCCTTTAAGTGAGCACAGGCAGGCTTTATTTTTTTTTTAAGATTTATTCTTTAATTTATGCAAGCACTGGGTACAGTCAGAAGCGCGGGAGGATGAGAGAATTTACCAGAGCCCGAGCAGGGAACAGAACAGGCAGACTGACAGAGTACACTGCTGAGGGGAGCAGTGGGCGTAGCAGGGGAGGTTTGTCACGCATGTGGGACCCTTGCCAGTGTTCGGGCATTGAACCAGCACTGCAGAGGCTGTGGGCAGCTTTGCAGGCCAGCGCTCAACTGCTGTGCCACCAGGGAAAGCCCAGCACAGGCAGGTTTTAATGAGGAGGTAAGTTACTGGGGGAGGAATCCATTCCACAGAGATTACTGAATGAGCCCAACACAAGGCACATGTATCTAAGTGTTTTCTAAATGTGAAAGGCAAAGAATAAAATATTGAGAGATGGATTGGTCTAGAAACTTTGAAACATCCTTACTGTTATATTTAAAAGTCTGAGTTCACTTCCTTCGTGTTATGACAATTAAGATAGAGAACCAGGAATTCAATGTATAGTACACTTTTAGCTTTGATTTTAAAAATAATTGGTGCAACTCATATTGAAAAAAAAAAAACTAGTAACAACAAATGTTGGCGAGGATGTGGAGGAAGAGGAACTCTACTACACTGCTTGTGGGAATGCAAAATATACAACCACTATGGAAATCTGTGTGGAGGTTCCCCATACTACTAAAATGGAGCTTCCATACAATCCAGTAATTCCACTCCTAGGAATCTACACAAAGGACACAAAAACATTAATTCAAAAGGACACGTGCACCCCAATGATTACTGCAGCACTTTTTACAATAGGTAAATTATGGCAACAACACCCAAGCCCAAAATAGATGACTGGATCAAGAAGATCCAGTCAATCCAAAATATAGAATAATGCCATTTGCAGCCACATGGATGGAGCTGGAAGGGATTATACTCAGTGAAATAAGCCAGAAAGAAAAAGAAAAATATCAGATGGTTTCACTCATAGGAGGAATGTAGAGGATCCAAATAAGATATGAGGAAAAAAAAAAGTAATTATAATAAATAAAAAATTAAAACCAAGGGCCTCCCTGGTGGCACAGTGGTTGAGAGCTGGGTTACGAAGCTGCCTGCTGCCTCTGTAGTGCTGGTTCAATCCCCGGCCACCGGCAAGGGTCCCACATGGTGCGCAGACCTCTCTTGCCGCCCGCTGCTCCCCTCAGCAATGTACCTCGTCACTCTGCCTGTTCAACTCTCTGCTCTGGCTCTGGTGAATTCTCTCACCCTCCCAGGCCTCTGACTATACCCAGTGCTTGTATAAATAAACAAACAAATAAATAAATAAATCTTTAAAAAAAATTAAAACCAAGAGGCAACTATAAATCAGAGACATTCTGCAGAGAAGGAGAATGGAGAAAGATCAAAACAGTGGTGGGAAGAGCACAAGGGACTACGGTGATGGTACATGGGTGAATTGGTGGTGGGAACTTCAAATGGACTACACCTGAGGGAAGAAAGCATACATTGTACAAAAATGAAGAATGATGTAAAACATATATTAAAAGAAAGAATAAACCAGAAGGCATATTAAAGAAATTACTGAAAATGTAAAAACAAAACAAAACAAAAAAGAAATGCCTTGGAGTACAGCATGGTGAGCATATAATACTCTACTGCGTATTTGAAAGTTGCAGAAAGTAGACCTCAAAAGTTCTCATCAGCAGTGTTGACCATGTATATCCAAAATATTATCTTTTTAACATGCAAGCAAAATAAAAATTACTGAGAAAAAAAATATGTGCAACTTATGGAAAAGTATGAGGCACTGTAATATGATGGAAGAAATCAGAGAAATATGTTGGGGGGGAGACATGACCTGTACTTTAAAATAAGTTTATGTTGGAATGACATCAGGGTAATGACTAAAAATGTCTACCTAATAAGGTCAGCATATCAAGAAAAAAAACTTGGTATCACCCATCACCCATGGAAAAAAAAAAAAAAAAAAAGCCTTTCTGAGAGCTGAGTGCTCCAGTCCCATACACCAAGACATCTCAGAGGAGTCCCAGTCTCGAGTGCAGTGTGTACAGACTCACAGACCACATTTCTGCAGTGACCCTGCAAGGCCCAGGACCTGACTCCACATAACTCAGCTGCATCCAGGAACAGCTGAAAATCCTATCTTTAGCCACAGTGCTCATGGAACTGCAGTCCTTAATCTCCACTCTTCCCCAGTCTCTAGACTGGAGGAACATGTGGCTGTGTTGGAAAACTCTCTGTCCTATCGGCTTACTTTTTCCTAATTATGGCACAAAACAGACAGCATCTTTTATGTGCACAAGTTAAGGGCTCATAATTCTGGGGCCAGATTTCTTTCAACTCCTATGAAAATTTACCAATTCTACCCTTTTCTTCAAATAAAAGAAAAAAACAAAAACTTTCTTACTCATCTAACTATTTTACCTTACTTAAAACTACCATAAGTACCAGATAAGTACCAGTAAGAGGCCTAAAGAGGAAGCATACAATTAGACTGTAGTCCTGAAATAGGCAAACATTCAACAAGGTAAATCTGCATATTGCAAACAGCCACAACAATCCTAAAAGGCATGCAATTGATAAAGGAGACTCAGCGTGGACCCACACAAAATTGTCTGGTCCAAGTGAGAATTAGTATAAAATGTAAAACAATACAAACAGCTTCAACTCCATTGATTCACTAAATTTTTAAGGAGCAGTAAATTTTCAGCCCCTCTTAAAAGCACTGAATGTATGGAAGAGAAATAACCAAACTCCTACCCTGAGAATGAAGTTACAGACGTTGAACCAGAAGGAAAATACACTTCCTGTTAGACAACACTAAAGCAGAAAGGGAAATTTGGAGGTTTGTAAGAGTGTGGCAGTCAAAATATGACTCAGAATGTCCAAGGCAGGTCTAACTGAGAAAATGGCTCTTGAGGAACCAACTGTAGGAATGAAGGGAGCAGGCGTGAGGATTATACGCATTTTCCAAATGTTTTGGCTTTTTGCAATATGCAGATGCTTTTTCAGAAGAAAGAACATTCCAGTTAGAATGAACAGCAAGTACCGAGGTATGCCAGGATGAAGAGTCAAAGTTCAAGGGGGCTGGAAAGGAATGGAAGGCACAAGATATAGAAATACAAGTGACACAGAGAGAGACAGAGAGAAACCACAAATGGAAGTATAGAAACTCATCAGAGATGAACAGTGGCTAGTTCCAGGTAGAGATTGGAAGAACGCTGGCATGTACTCTGAGTGAACTGGGAGTCAACTAGAGTGTTTTGAGAAGAGAGGAACAACACATCTGACTTATGCCTTACTAGGCCCACTGATATTAAAATGATGTTTTGGGCCTCCCCTGGTGGCGCAGTGGTTGAGCGCTGGGCTGCAAGGCTGCCCAAAGCCTCTGCAGCACTGGTTTGATCCCCGGCCTCCAGCGAGGGTCCCACATGGCGCGCAGACCTCTCCTGCTGTGCCCTCTGCTCCCCTCAGCAGTGTACTTTGGTCCTTCTGCCTGTTCTGCTCCCCGCTCTGGCTCTCGTGAATTTTCTCACCCTCCCGCGCCTCTGACTGTACCCAGTGCTCGTATAAATAAATAAATAAATCTTAAAAAAAAAAGAACTTAAACTGTAACAAACAATATATTTTAAAAAATAAAATAAAAATAAAATGATGTGTTGAGTGAAAAGGAAGGATGATAAGGGACATATTAACGGTCTCTTATATTACACAAGAGAGAAGATGATCTGGATTCAGCTTGGAAAATGTCACTGGTTTGTGGATATGTTTGGCTGTTAGACATTAGATGATTTACTGAAACGTTAGTTTTCAGGTGCAACAGAAAAAGACAGGAATAGCAGATGACACCCAACTTTATGACAGAGCACCTGCAAGAGCTGCCTTTATCTAAAAGAGCAAAGACTATCAAATAGTCAAGACACTTGCTTGAGGTATTCTGCATCTATGTTCATCAGGTAGGTTGGACTTCATTTTCTCTTTTTGGAAGGTTTTGGTCTGGTTTTGGTATCAGAGTAATGTTGGCCTCATAGAAGCATTCCCTCTTCCTCAACCTTTAGGAAGCATTTGAGAAGAGTAAGTAGTAGACATCTTAGATATTTCGGTAGAAGTCACTTTTGCAACCATCTGGTCCTGGGCTTTTGGTGTTTGGAAAACTTTTATTTATTTATTTATTTATTTAATTTTATTTTTTTTAAGATTTATTTATTTATACAAGAACGGGGGTACAGGCCAGATGTGGGGGAGGGTGAGAGGATTCACCAGAGACTGGGTGGGGAACAGAACAGGCTGACTGAAATACACTGCTGAGGGGAGCAGCAGGCAGGACAGGAGAGGTCTCCCATGCCATGTGGGTTGCTTATTGGCCGGTGGGAATCGAACCAGCACTGCAGAGGCTGCGGACAGCTTCACAGCGCTGCACTCAACCGCCTGCACCACCAGGGAAGCCCGTGTTTGGAAAACTTTAAAGACTTTTAATGATTCCATTGTAATTGCTTTGCTCAGGTTTTCTATCTCTTCCTCATTCAGTCTTGGAAGCCTGTATTTTTCTAACTTTTTTTTTCATTTCTTCTGTGTTACCCAATTTCTTGTTATATAGATGTTCATATGATCTCATATGTAGATGTTCATATGATCTCACAATCTTCTGTATTTCTGAGATATGTACTACAACTTCTCTTTTGGTTTTGGTTATATTTATTAAGAATCTTCCTTTTTTTGCTTTGTGAACCTAGTTATAAGTTTGTCTATTTTGTGTGTTCTTCGAAGAACTTGCTTCTTGCTACACTGATATTTTGGACTGCCTTTTTTAATTTCTATTAGTCTATTCTGCTCCAATTTTTATAGTTTCCTTCTTTCTCCTGGGTTTTGATTTTACATGTTCAAGTTTCTTAAATTATAAGGTTAGAGATTATATATTTTAAATATTTCTCGTGGGCCTGTATTGCTATGTACTTCACTGTTAGTACTTTGTACGTTCTGTTATACTCATGTGTTCATTTTCATTTATCTTCAGGTATTCGTAAAGTTCTTCTTTGATTTCCTCATTAACCCAATAAACATTCAATAGTAGGTTATTCGGTCTCCATTTATTAGTGGTTTTTCCCATTTTTGTTGTGGTTGATTTCTCATTTGATACCATTGTGATCAGAGAAGACATTGTTATGATTGCAATCTTCATGAATTAACATTCATTTTGTGATCCAGCATGTGGTGTGTCCTGAAGTATGTTCCATGTTCCCTAACAAGAATGTGTACTAACATATACAAAATGGAATATTACTCAGCAATCAAAAAAGATAAACACATGCAATTTGCAGCAACATGGATGGAGCTGGAAGGGATCATGCTCAGAGAAATAAGCAAAAATCCCAGATGGTCTCACTCATAGCAGGGATTTAGAAAACCTAAATAAGTGAACAGGAAAAAGAATAACTATAAAAAAGAAAAAAATCAAAATCAACGAACAACTATGAACCAGAGACACACTATGGATGGGGGTGGAGAAAGGAGGGTTTGGGGTCAAAATAAGGGGGCTGCAATAGTATTGAGAATATAAAAATAAAAGAAAAAAAAAAGAAATGTGTACTAAGCTTTGTGGGGATAGTGCCCTGTAACTGCTTATTAAGCCTATGTGTTCTGATTCCTCATTTATGACTATTGTTTCCAAGCTCATTTTCTGTCTGTTTGTCTGTCCATTGATGAAAATGAGGTGTTGATGTCCCCGCTACTGTCCTGTGGTTGCCAATGTTTGTTTTCAGATTTGGTAAATGTTGTCTTATATATTTTGATGCACCTTCATTTGGTGCATATATACTGATGAGTGATTTGTCTTCCTGATGTATTGATCACTTCATTATACAATGTCAACCCCTGTCTCTCATTACCTGTTTTAGATTGAAGCCTATTTTATCAGATATAAGCATGGCTAGCACTGCCTTTATCTAGGGCCCACTTGCCTGTAGGATGTTTTCCAACTACATGCTTAACTTTGGAGCTCACTTATGCTCCTGGAGATTGCAAAAAGTTGGGTTTTGTTTTCTTATCTAACCAGATGCTCTGTACCTTTTGGTTGGTGAGTGCAGGCTTGCACTTGAGGTGATTATTGAGGTATTTGCTCTGTAAGCACATGTCACTGTCATTTGACCTTTAGTTTTCTGGTTCTACCTATTTCCTTGTTTAGAATTTTGTAGATTTTCTTCTCTTAAATTTAATTATCATCACTCATTTGAACATTTCTTATGAGGGAGGTCTAGTGTTGGCAACCTACTGTAGCTTCAATTGCTCTACAAAGACCTTCATTTCTCTCTCAGATGTGAAGGACAGTCTTGAAGATACAGTATCAGAGCTGGCAGTTTTATTCTTGAAGTATTTTTAATATGTCATTCCATTCTCACTTGGCTCAGAAAAGTCTGCTGTAAGCCTGTGGGAGGAGTACCTCATAGGTTATCTGTCTTCATTCCCTATCCACATTCGAAATTCTTGCCTAGATCTATGATAGATTCACACCTATGTGATTTAGTGGAGATTTCTTTATATTTAAATAACTCAGTATTCATTTAGCCTTCAAGAGCTCATAGATACAATGGTGGGTCACAGTTCTTTTTGTATGAATAGTTGCAAATACATAACAATGATTATTTGGTATTTCTGTAATAGTCTACTTCTTTTCTAACCACTTGCATGTGAAACAAAATGGTTAACAAATTGAAGTTAAATTTAAAAAGAAACAAACAAACCCTATGATCATATAGTCAGTGTGTTTCCTTTTATTGACTTGAATCTATTTATTGAATTTATAAATCGATGATGGATAGATATTAAAGTATTTATTGCAATAGGCCTCATTCACAGTCACTAAGCTAAGGAACTAGAAATCTCAAAAAAGAAAAAAAGCAGAATATATGACTGAAGCACAAGGGGTTGGGAGGAGAATAAAATAGTGATGGGGCCTAACTTCCTTAGCAAAGCCTTATGGGACATTAGTGGTGGGTGTCAAGCACAGCATTCACCTGATGAGGTGTGAACATATCTCCTAAAGTACACACAGGCTTGGAAAAAAACACTGCCTCGATGAAGTGACAAAAACACAATGATCTACATCATTCAACTTTCAGCAGTGTTTGCCTATAATAGAGAATTTATTTTGCTTGGACTGACAAATGCAATCACAGCAAATTGTCCTTGAACCTTAAAGGAGGAGTTGTTTTTACCTTATGACATTCTTATCTGGTTCGTGTTTCCCGCCGACTCCATTCACTGGAATCACAACAGGCTTTGTGCTGGCTACAACCGCAGATACTGGGCAAGACGCGGAATCATGTTGGGTTGTCTTCTTCACTGTGTCAGGAACCCTACTTTGAAAGAAGAAACCATGTAAGCCTCGTGTTTTCTAAGATAAAGTGTAATGAAACAACTTTATCAACATTCCGACATTATCCACCTGCATTCACTGATATATTCTTAAAACCATGATGAAGAAAAAAACATAAGCAAGGAGAATACTCCTTGCTTCAAAGCCACATGTACAATTATGACACAATGTGATGGTAAAGAGTACATTTTTGACATGCTGGGAGGCTGTACGCAGGTGGTAAAAGAAATACAGCAGGTCACCAAAGGTACTGGTGGAGAAACCACTCTACATAGACAATCGATCGTGAACAGTATGATAGGGCACATCACATCTCTGTGTTTCCTAAACACACATCTCTGCGTTTCCTCTGTGTTTGAAAGGGAAAGAACAATAACTGAGAGTTCAGTGCAACCAGAAATTTTTAAACACATTCAATGCCACACTGAAAATCTGAGTTCACTGTGGAAAACTATGGCTGCTTAGACAAGAGACTAATTATTCAATGTGCACTGTTCTTTGGCCTTTGTATTTTTTAATGTAAAAATGAGCACCTAATTGAACTTGTACGGGGAACAGATATTGGAAGGTCTCTGATAAATTCTCTTGGGAAAAAAGATTTATTTTTAAAACATTCACTACATGTATCTTGCAGTGTCATCAGGGTCATATGCACGTACGATGTACCTCATCGGTTTCCCCTGCCACAAACCTCAAAATGGCATCACCCATAGACAAAAACAAAAGTTGTCTTTCTGATCTCAGTGATCCAGTACTATATACCAGGACAGAGGACCCAGTGCAGGTGTGGTGAACACATGTCAGGAATTAAGGTAAGGCCTGCAGCGTAAATGCAACTTTGGGCATCTATCATATTCAAGGAAGTAAAAGTTATGGGGCCAAAGATCCTGGGAAACCTCAATTTGTCCAAAGGTAATGGGCTTTGAGAAGAAATAGGAAAAACAGAGTGAGGTCAAAAACTGAGAAATGGGAGGGAGAAACCTGGTAAGTGAGCTCTCCCACTGAAATTAACAGAGCCTAAAATCAAATGAAAATATTATGTGGTTGGAGAATGATTGCCATTGATGCAGACATTGCCCATGGGTCTAAAGAGATATGTGTTGCTATCATAGAGTGAAAAATCCTTGTAGCCTTTACAAAGCAAGTTTGGACCATGCATGAGTGGGATCCTTACCGTTAAAAGTTTAAGAGTGAAAACAGGAGAGAGAGGGAAAGACAGTTCTGGGAGCCTTTAAGAGCTCATGGGATACAATGGAGATAAAGGTTTCTTCTTGTTTGAATAGTTGCAAATACATTACAATGATTATTTGGTATTTCTGTAATAGTCTACTTCTTTTCTAACCACTTGCATGTGAAACAAAATGGTTAACAAATTGAAGTTAAATTTAAAAAGAAACAAACAAACCCTATGATCATATATTCAGTGTGTTTCCTTTTATTGACTTGAATCTATTTATTGAATTTATAAATCGATGATGGATAGATATTAAAGTATTTATTGCAAAAGGCCTCATTCACAGTCACTAAGCTAAGGAACTAGAATTCTGAAAAAAAAAAAAAAAAAAGCAGAATATATGACTGAAGCACAAGGGGTTGGGAGGAGAATAAAATAGTGATGGGGCCTAACTTCCTTAGCAAAGCCTTATGGGACAGAGTGGTGGGTGTCAAGCACAGCATTCACCTGATGAGGTGTGAACATATCTCCTAAAGTACACACAGGCTTGGAAAAAAACACTGCCTCGATGAAGTGACAAAAACACAATGATCTACAACATTCAACTTTCAGCAGTGTTTGCCTATAATAGAGAATTTATTTTGCTTGGACTGACAAAAGCAATCACAGCAAATTGTCCTTGAACCTTAAAGGAGGAGTTGTTTTTACCTTGTGACATTCTTATCTGGTCCGTGTCTCCCGCTGACTCCATTCACTGGAATCACAACAGGCTTTGTGCTGGCTACAACCGCAGATACTGGGCAAGACGCTGAATCACGTAGGATTGTCTTCTTCACTGTGTCAGGAACCCTACTTTGAAAGAAGAAACCATGTAAGCCTCGTGTTTTCTAAGATAAAGTGTAACGAAACAACTTTTACAACATTCCGACATTATCCACCTGCATTCACTGATATATTCTTAAAACCGTGATGAAGAAAAAACCATAAGCAAGGAGAATACTCCTTGCTTCAAAGCCACATGTACAATTATGACACAATGTGATGGTAAAGAGTACATTTTTGACATGCTGGGAGGCTGTACGCAGCTGGTAAAAGAAATACAGCAGGTCACCAAAGGTACTGGTGGAGAAACCACTCTACATAGACAATCGATCGTAAACAGTATGATAGGGCACATCACATCTCTGTGTTTCCTAAACACACATCTCTGCGTTTCCTCTGTGTTTGAAAGGGAAAGAACAATAACTGAGAGTTCAGTGCACCCAGAAATTTTAAAACATATTCAATGCCACACTGAAAATCTGAGTTCCCTGTGGAAAACTACTGCTGCTTAGACAAGAGACTAATTATTCAATGTGCACTGTTCTTTGGCCTTTGTATTTTTTAATGTAAAAATGAGCACCTAATTGAACTTGTACTGGGAACAGATATTGGAAGGTCGCTGATAAATTCTCTTGGGAAAAAAGATTTATTTTTAAAACATTCACTACATGTATCTTGCAGTGACATCAGGGTCATATGCACGTACGATGTACATCATCGGTTTCCCTGCCACAAACCTCAAAATGGCATCACCCATAGACAAAAACAAAAGTGGTCTTTCTGATCTCAGTGATCCAGTACCATATACCAGGACAGAGGGCCCAGTGCAGGTGCAGTGAGTACATGTCAGGAATTAAGGTAAGGCCTGCAGGGTAAATGCAACTTTAGGCATCTATCATATTCAAGGAAGTAAAAGTCATGGGGCCAAAGATCCTGGGAAACCTCAATTTGTCCAAAGGTAAAGGGCTTTGAGAAGAAATAGGAAAAACAGAGTGAGGTCAAAAACTGAGAAATGGGAGGGAGAAACCTGGTAAGTGAGCTCTCCCACTGAAATTAACAGAGCCTAAAGTCAAATGAAAATATTATGTGGTTGCCATCGATGCAGACATTGCGCATGGGTCTAAAGAGATATGTGTTGCTATCATAGAGTGAAAAATCCTTGTAGCCTTTACAAAGCAAGTTTGGACCATGCATGAGGGGATCCTTACCGTTAAAAGTTTAAGAGTGAAAACAGGAGAGAGAGGGAAAGACAGTTCTGGGAGCCTTTAAGAGCTCATGGGATACAATGGAGATAAAGGTTTCTTCTTGTTTGAATAGTTGCAAATACATTACAATGATTATTTGGTATTTCTGTAATAGTCTACTTCTTTTCTAACCACTTGCATGTGAAACAAAATGGTTAACAAATTGAAGTTAAATTTAAAAAGAAACAAACAAACCCTATGATCATATATTCAGTGTGTTTCCTTTTATTGACTTGAATCTATTTATTGAATTTATAAATCGATGATGGATAGATATTAAAGTATTTATTGCAAAAGGCCTCATTCACAGTCACTAAGCTAAGGAACTAGAATTCTGAAAAAAAAAAAAAAAGCAGAATATATGACTGAAGCACAAGGGGTTGGGAGGAGAATAAAATAGTGATGGGGCCTAACTTCCTTAGCAAAGCCTTATGGGACAGAGTGGTGGGTGTCAAGCACAGCATTCACCTGATGAGGTGTGAACATATCTCCTAAAGTACACACAGGCTTGGAAAAAAACACTGCCTCGATGAAGTGACAAAAACACAATGATCTACAACATTCAACTTTCAGCAGTGTTTGCCTATAATAGAGAATTTATTTTGCTTGGACTGACAAAAGCAATCACAGCAAATTGTCCTTGAACCTTAAAGGAGGAGTTGTTTTTACCTTGTGACATTCTTATCTGGTCCGTGTCTCCCGCTGACTCCATTCACTGGAATCACAACAGGCTTTGTGCTGGCTACAACCGCAGATACTGGGCAAGACGCTGAATCACGTAGGATTGTCTTCTTCACTGTGTCAGGAACCCTACTTTGAAAGAAGAAACCATGTAAGCCTCGTGTTTTCTAAGATAAAGTGTAACGAAACAACTTTTACAACATTCCGACATTATCCACCTGCATTCACTGATATATTCTTAAAACCGTGATGAAGAAAAAACCATAAGCAAGGAGAATACTCCTTGCTTCAAAGCCACATGTACAATTATGACACAATGTGATGGTAAAGAGTACATTTTTGACATGCTGGGAGGCTGTACACAGGTGGTAAAAGAAATACAGCAGGTCACCAAAGGTACTGGTGGAGAAACCACTCTACATAGACAATCGATCGTAAACAGTATGATAGGGCACATCACATCTCTGTGTTTCCTAAACACACATCTCTGCGTTTCCTCTGTGTTTGAAAGGGAAAGAACAATAACTGAGAGTTCAGTGCACCCAGAAATTTTAAAACATATTCAATGCCACACTGAAAATCTGAGTTCCCTGTGGAAAACTACTGCTGCTTAGACAAGAGACTAATTATTCAATGTGCACTGTTCTTTGGCCTTTGTATTTTTTAATGTAAAAATGAGCACCTAATTGAACTTGTACTGGGAACAGATATTGGAAGGTCGCTGATAAATTCTCTTGGGAAAAAAGATTTATTTTTAAAACATTCACTACATGTATCTTGCAGTGACATCAGGGTCATATGCACGTACGATGTACATCATCGGTTTCCCTGCCACAAACCTCAAAATGGCATCACCCATAGACAAAAACAAAAGTGGTCTTTCTGATCTCAGTGATCCAGTACCATATACCAGGACAGAGGGCCCAGTGCAGGTGCAGTGAGTACATGTCAGGAATTAAGGTAAGGCCTGCAGGGTAAATGCAACTTTAGGCATCTATCATATTCAAGGAAGTAAAAGTCATGGGGCCAAAGATCCTGGGAAACCTCAATTTGTCCAAAGGTAAAGGGCTTTGAGAAGAAATAGGAAAAACAGAGTGAGGTCAAAAACTGAGAAATGGGAGGGAGAAACCTGGTAAGTGAGCTCTCCCACTGAAATTAACAGAGCCTAAAGTCAAATGAAAATATTATGTGGTTGCCATCGATGCAGACATTGCGCATGGGTCTAAAGAGATATGTGTTGCTATCATAGAGTGAAAAATCCTTGTAGCCTTTACAAAGCAAGTTTGGACCATGCATGAGGGGGATCCTTACCGTTAAAAGTTTAAGAGTGAAAACAGGAGAGAGAGGGAAAGACAGTTCTGGGAGCCTTTAAGAGCTCATGGGATACAATGGAGATAAAGGTTTCTTCTTGTTTGAATAGTTGCAAATACATTACAATGATTATTTGGTATTTCTGTAATAGTCTACTTCTTTTCTAACCACTTGCATGTGAAACAAAATGGTTAACAAATTGAAGTTAAATTTAAAAAGAAACAAACAAACCCTATGATCATATATTCAGTGTGTTTCCTTTTATTGACTTGAATCTATTTATTGAATTTATAAATCGATGATGGATAGATATTAAAGTATTTATTGCAATAGGCCTCATTCATAGTCACTAAGCTAAGGAACTAGAAATCTGAAAAAAAAAAAAAAAAGCAGAATATATGACTGAAGCACAAGGGGTTGGGAGGAGAATAAAATAGTGATGGGGCCTAACTTCCTTAGCAAAGCCTTATGGGACATTAGTGGTGGGTGTCAAGCACAGCATTCACCTGATGAGGTGTGAACATATCTCCTAAAGTACACACAGGCTTGGAAAAAAACACTGCCTCGATGAAGTGACAAAAACACAATGATCTACATCATTCAACTTTCAGCAGTGTTTGCCTATAATAGAGAATTTATTTTGCTTGGACTGACAAAAGCAATCACAGCAAATTGTCCTTGAACCTTAAAGGAGGAGTTGTTTTTACCTTGTGACATTCTTATCTGGTTCGTGTCTCCCGCCGACTCCATTCACTGGAATCACAACAGGCTTTGTGCTGGCTACAACCGCAGATACTGGGCAAGACGCTGAATCACGTTGGGTTGTCTTCTTCACTGTGTCAGGAACCCTACTTTGAAAGAAGAAACCATGTAAGCCTCGTGTTTTCTAAGATAAAGTGTAATGAAACAACTTTTACAACATTCCGACATTATCCACCTGCATTCACTGATATATTCTTAAAACCATGATGAAGAAAAAAACATAAGCAAGGAGAATACTCCTTGCTTCAAAGACACATGTACAATTATGACACAAAGTGATGGTAAAGAGTACATTTTTGACATGCTGGGAGGCTGTACACAGGTGGTAAAAGAAATACAGCAGGTCACCAAAGGTACTGGTGGAGAAACCACTCTACATAGACAATCGATCGTAAACAGTATGATAGGGCACATCACATCTCTGTGTTTCCTAAACACACATCTCTGCGTTTCCTCTGTGTTTGAAAGGGAAAGAACAATAACTGAGAGTTCAGTGCACCCAGAAATTTTTAAACACATTCAATGCCACACTGAAAATCTGAGTTCACTGTGGAAAACTATGGCTGCTTAGACAAGAGACTAATTATTCAATGTGCACTGTTCTTTGGCCTTTGTATTTTTTAATGTAAAAATGAGCACCTAATTGAACTTGTACGGGGAACAGATATTGGAAGGTCTCTGATAAATTCTCTTGGGAAAAAAGATTTATTTTTAAAACATTCACTACATGTATCTTGTAGTGACATCAGGGTCATATGCACGTACGATGTACCTCATCGGTTTCCCCTGCCACAAACCTCAAAATGGCATCACCCATAGACAAAAACAAAAGTGGTCTTTCTGATCTCAGTGATCCAGTACCATATACCAGGACAGAGGACCCAGTGCAGGTGTGGTGAACACATGTCAGGAATTAAGGTAAGGCCTGCAGCGTAAATGCAACTTTGGGCATCTATCATATTCAAGGAAGTATAAGTCATGGGGCCAAAGATCCTGGGAAACCTCAATTTGTCCAAAGGTAATGGGCTTTGAGAAGAAATAGGAAAAACAGAGTGAGGTCAAAAACTGAGAAATGGGAGGGAGAAACCTGGTAAGTGAGCTCTCCCACTGAAATTAACAGAGCCTAAAATCAAATGAAAATATTATGTGGTTGGAGAATGATTGCCATTGATGCAGACATTGCCCATGGGTCTAAAGAGATATGTGTTGCTATCATAGAGTGAAAAATCCTTGTAGCCTTTACAAAGCAAGTTTGGACCATGCATGAGTGGGATCCTTACCGTTAAAAGTTTAAGAGTGAAAACAGGAGAGAGAGGGAAAGACAGTTCTGGGAGCCTTTAAGAGCTCATGGGATACAATGGAGATAAAGGTTTCTTCTTGTTTGAATAGTTGCAAATACATTACAATGATTATTTGGTATTTCTGTAATAGTCTACTTCTTTTCTAACCACTTGCATGTGAAACAAAATGGTTAACAAATTGAAGTTAAATTTAAAAAGAAACAAACAAACCCTATGATCATATATTCAGTGTGTTTCCTTTTATTGACTTGAATCTATTTATTGAATTTATAAATCGATGATGGATAGATATTAAAGTATTTATTGCAAAAGGCCTCATTCACAGTCACTAAGCTAAGGAACTAGAATTCTGAAAAAAAAAAAAAAAAAAAGCAGAATATATGACTGAAGCACAAGGGGTTGGGAGGAGAATAAAATAGTGATGGGGCCTAACTTCCTTAGCAAAGCCTTATGGGACAGAGTGGTGGGTGTCAAGCACAGCATTCACCTGATGAGGTGTGAACATATCTCCTAAAGTACACACAGGCTTGGAAAAAAACACTGCCTCGATGAAGTGACAAAAACACAATGATCTACAACATTCAACTTTCAGCAGTGTTTGCCTATAATAGAGAATTTATTTTGCTTGGACTGACAAAAGCAATCACAGCAAATTGTCCTTGAACCTTAAAGGAGGAGTTGTTTTTACCTTGTGACATTCTTATCTGGTCCGTGTCTCCCGCCGACTCCATTCACTGGAATCACAACAGGCTTTGTGCTGGCTACAAAAGCAGATACTGGGCAAGACGCTGAATCACGTAGGATTGTCTTCTTCACTGTGTCAGGAACCCTACTTTGAAAGAAGAAACCATGTAAGCCTCGTGTTTTCTAAGATAAAGTGTAACGAAACAACTTTTACAACATTCCGACATTATCCACCTGCATTCACTGATATATTCTTAAAACCATGATGAAGAAAAAACCATAAGCAAGGAGAATACTCCTTGCTTCAAAGCCACATGTACAATTATGACACAAAGTGATGGTAAAGAGTACATTTTTGACATGCTGGGAGGCTGTACGCAGGTAGTAAAAGAAATACAGCAGGTCACCAAAGGTACTGGTGGAGAAACCACTCTACATAGACAATCGATCGTAAACAGTATGATAGGGCACATCACATCTCTGTGTTTCCTAAACACACATCTCTGCGTTTCCTCTGTGTTTGAAAGGGAAAGAACAATAACTGAGAGTTCAGTGCACCCAGAAATTTTAAAACATATTCAATGCCACACTGAAAATCTGAGTTCACTGTGGAGAACTACTGCTGCTTAGACAAGAGACTAATTATTCAATGTGCACTGTTCTTTGGCCTTTGTATTTTTTAATGTAAAAATGAGCACCTAATTGAACTTGTAAAGGGAACAGATATTGGAAGGTCACTGATAAATTCTCTTGGGAAAAAAGATTTATTTTTAAAACATTCACTACATGTATCTTGCAGTGACATCAGGGTCATATGCACGTACGATGTACCTCATCGGTTTCCCCTGCCACAAACCTCAAAATGGCATCACCCATAGACAAAAACAAAAGTGGTCTTTCTGATCTCAGTGATCCAGTACCATATACCAGGACAGAGGGCCCAGTGCAGGTGCAATGAGTACATGTCAGGAATTAAGGTAAGGCCTGCAGCGTAAATGCAACTTTAGGCATCTATCATATTCAAGGAAGTAAAAGTCATGGGGCCAAAGATCCTGGGAAACCTCAATTTGTCCAAAGGTAATGGGCTTTGAGAAGAAATAGGAAAAACAGAGTGAGGTCAAAAACTGAGAAATGGGAGGGAGAAACCTGGTAAGTGAGCTCTCCCACTGAAATTAACAGAGCCTAAAGTCAAATGAAAATATTATGTGGTTGCCATCGATGCAGACATTGCGCATGGGTCTAAAGATATATGTGTTGCTATCATAGAGTGAAAAATCCTTGTAGCCTTTACAAAGCAAGTTTGGACCATGCATGAGTGGGACCCTTACTGTTAAAAGTTTAAGAGTGAAAACAGGAGAGAGAGGGAAAGACAGTTCTGGGAGCCTTTAAGAGCTCATGGGATACAATGGAGATAAAGGTTTCTTCTTGTTTGAATAGTTGCAAATACATTACAATGATTATTTGGTATTTCTGTAATAGTCTACTTCTTTTCTAACCACTTGCATGTGAAACAAAATGGTTAACAAATTGAAGTTAAATTTAAAAAGAAACAAACAAACCCTATGATCATATATTCAGTGTGTTTCCTTTTATTGACTTGAATCTATTTATTGAATTTATAAATCGATGATGGATAGATATTAAAGTATTTATTGCAATAGGCCTAATTCACAGTCACTAAACTAAGGAACTAGAAATCTGAAAAAAAAAAAAAAAAAAAGCAGAATATATGACTGAAGTACAAGGGGTTGGGAGGAGAATAAAATAGTGATGGGGCCTAACTTCCTTAGCAAAGCCTTATGGGACATTAGTGGTGGGTGTCAAGCACAGCATTCACCTGATGAGGTGTGAACATATCTCCTAAAGTACACACAGGCTTGGAAAAAAACACTGCCTCGATGAAGTGACAAAAACACAATGATCTACATCATTCAACTTTCAGCAGTGTTTGCCTATAATAGAGAATTTATTTTGCTTGGACTGACAAAAGCAATCACAGCAAATTGTCCTTGAACCTTAAAGGAGGAGTTGTTTTTACCTTGTGACATTCTTATCTGGTTCGTGTCTCCCGCCGACTCCATTCACTGGAATCACAACAGGCTTTGTGCTGGCTACAACCGCAGATACTGGGCAAGACGCTGAATCACGTTGGGTTGTCTTCTTCACTGTGTCAGGAACCCTACTTTGAAAGAAGAAACCATGTAAGCCTCGTGTTTTCTAAGATAAAGTGTAATGAAACAACTTTTACAACATTCCGACATTATCCACCTGCATTCACTGATATATTCTTAAAACCATGATGAAGAAAAAACCATAAGCAAGGAGAATACTCCTTGCTTCAAAGCCACATGTACAATTATGACACAATGTGATGGTAAAGAGTACATTTTTGACATGCTGGGAGGCTGTACGCAGGTGGTAAAAGAAATACAGCAGGTCACCAAAGGTACTGGTGGAGAAACCACTCTACATAGACAATCGATCGTAAACAGTATGATAGGGCACATCACATCTCTGTGTTTCCTAAACACACACTCTGCGTTTCCTCTGTGTTTGAAAGGGAAAGAACAATAACTGAGAGTTCAGTGCACCCAGAAATTTTAAAACATATTCAATGCCACACTGAAAATCTGAGTTCACTGTGGAAAACTACTGCTGCTTAGACAAGAGACTATTCAATGTGCACTGTTCTTTGGCCTTTGTATTTTTTTAATGTAAAAATGAGCACCTAATTGAACTTGTACTGGAATATATATTAGAAGGTCTCTGATAAATTCTCATGGGTGAAAAAGTTTTATTTTTTTAAAATATTCACTACATGTATCTTGCAGTGTCATCAGGGTCATATGCACGTATGATGTACCTCATTGGTTTCCCCTGCCAGGAACCTCAAAATGACATCACCCATAGACAAAAGCAAAAGTTGTCTTTCTGATCTCAGTGATCCAGTACGATATACCTGGAGAGAGGACCCAGAGCAGGTGCACTGAACACATGTCAGAAATTAAGGTAAGGCTGGTAGCGTAAATGCAACTTTGGGCATCTATCATATTCAAGGAAGTAAAAGTCATAGGGCCAACGTTCCTGGGAAACCTCAATGTAATGACGTCACTGTAATGTCCAAAGAAGTCTCCGCTACTCAAAACAACAATTTGTCATCTGTCATGTATAAAAATAATTGCAATTATGTCCTGATTGACCCAGAAACGCACATCATTTGAGGAGCCCAGCTGCAAGTGCAGGAAGTATAGGTCGGGAATTAAGATACCTGTAGTGTAACGATAACTTTGGACATCTTTAGCATATTCATGGAAGTAAAAGTTATGGATAGAAGACCTGGGATACTTCAAGTTGTGCAAAGGCAATGGGGTTGAAAAGATGTAGGAAAAACTAATTGAAGTCAAAGTATAAGAAATGGGATTAGGATACCAGGCCAGTGAGTTCTCCCCTGAAATTTCCATAGCATAGAGTCCAATGAAGAAAATGTGTTGAAGGAGAGTGATTTCCATTGAGGCAGACATAGCCCATGGGTCTAAAAAGCTATGTGTCAATATCACAAATTGAAAAATCTGTGGTAACCATTAGAAAGCAAATTTTGAGCAGGAATGTGTGGGACCATTACTGCTGTAAGTTCAAGAATGAAAACAAGAGAAACTGGGGATAGGTAGTTTTGTTGGCCTTAAGAGCTCATGGCATACCATGGTGGGTTACAATTCTTTTTTTGACTAGTTTGCAATACACAATCATGATTATTTAGTATTTCAGTAATAACCTACTTCTTTTCTAATTAGCTCCATGTGACACATTTATCAGAAAAGTAAAGGAAAATTCAAAAATAAAATGTCTCCTGATTGTGTTTCCATATTGAATTTAACCTATTTTTTGAGTTTATGAATGGATGCAGAAAGATATTACAGTGTGTATGCAATGAATCTCCTCCTCCCACTCACTAAACAAAGGTACTAGAAAACAAAACAAAAGAAGCCAAGAATATCGGACTACAACTGAGTGCACTGGAAAAGGATCACAAAGCATTGCGGGGTTAGAACTAAACAGACAGGGAACCAAACCTACAGGAAAGCAATATGGATACACTGGTGGTTGCTGTTGGCAGGAATATTCATCTGATGAAGTAGCCACACCTATGTGGCTTGGTGTAGGTCTCATTATATTTAAATAACCAAGTATTCTTTTAGCTTTGTGGACCTGTATAATTTATTCCTCTCTCAGGTTTGGGAAGTTTTTCTCCTATTATTTCTTTGAAATAAGTTCTCTGCTCTGTCCCCCCTCTTCTGGAGTACCCGATATCCTTATGAGCCTTTTCTAATGGAATCAGGTAGTTATTCAAATGTCTCTTCATTTCCTTTTGTTTTTCTTTCTCTTTCTTCTCCCACCTGGGTCCTTTGAGACCACTGATTCATTCCCCACTTGGTGTAATCTATTTTCATAGCTGTCTCCAGAAACTTTTATCTCCTCTATTGGTCTTTTTACAATCCTACAATTCTGTTATTTTCTTATTTAAATCACTATTTTTATTTCTCATGACATTTGTTCTATCACTCTAATTAGCTTTTCTAAGTTCCTGTGTTCACTTTGACTTGCCTTTCCATGTTTTCTTCCACTTCTTTATGACAATTTTTAAGTCTGTATTTGATAAGAGATTAAGTTTTCCTTGTATTTGTGGTTGAACATCGGATATTTCTCTCCTTATGAAAACACAGTCCCTTGATAGCTCAATTTGTCTTGTGTTGTATTTCTTTGCCTTCTAATTTTGCTGCTTTAGATTTCCCGATTTGTTAAAGTACTTACAGCACTTACTTCAAGATAGAAAATATGCTTGAAATTCTGAAAGACGCCATTGAGTTCCCCTTCAGAATGAACTTACCAAATTCCTCTATCAAAGTGTCTAAGAATACCCCTCACATTTATCAACCCTTGTTATTATTGTTTTAATGAAGTACTTATCATTATGATTTTAAACATGTTATCTCATTATTAATTTGCATTTTTATGACTACTCAGCAAATTTAGATATCTCTAGCAAAAAAACTGAAGTTGTTAATCATTATACTCACTCAAATTTGAATAACATAAAAAATAACTAGTACCTATAGTAAAATATTATTACCTATAAGGATCTTCTTTGGTCATTGAAATAGAACAGTGCTGATTATCAGTTTTTCCACTCTTTGCTTGTTGAGTTAATCCACTGCTGACAATATCAGAATCAGATATGTCTTCTAATATCAAGTCACCACAGTCGTGCTTCTTTCCTTCATGAACCTTTAATCAAAGTTTGATATTAGGGATCATTGCTATTACTTTATTTATTTTAAGAACTTTTTGTTTTCACTACTTTTGTAATTTTACTCAGTTTCTTATGATTTTAATAAGTACTAATATCCCCCCCCCAATGTTTTTCCTTCAAAACTTTCACAGGGTCTGGAACCCTTGCAGGCCTGAAAATGAAGGAGGAGGAAATCCTCACATTCCTTGCAGCAGGAACCCATTTACGCGCCACTAACCTTGACTTCCAAATGGAACAGTACATCTACAAGGGGAAATGTGATGGTACTTACATCACAAATTTGAAGATAACCTGCAAGTAGCTTCCATAGGTGGCTCGAGCTGTATTGTCATTGAAACTGGCTGATATCAGTGTCATATCTTCCAGGAACACTAGCCAGCAAGTTGTGCTGAGATTTGTTGCTGCCACCGGAACCACTCACGTTGCCCATTTCAGTCCTGGAATCTTCAATGACAGGATCTACGTAGCCTTCTAGGAGCCAGCACTATCATGGCTACTGGTCCCAGGACTGACTGCCAACCTAATCTCACAGAGACATCTTAACTTTAAACCTGCCTATCACTGTTCAGATAACACAGACTCTCCTCAGTGCTATGTGAATTTGTCATCATATGCAGCAAGGGAGTCTGAGGTGGTGGATGTTGGCCTATTCAGTTGGAAGACTATTCTTTTACCGTTTACAATACCATATTATTTCCATAGAAATACTGATGATTTATCACAAAAGGTGGAATCCAACAATTTATTAAGAAAGGAAACTCAATGGTGAAATTTACCATTAATGAATTAGTTACTAAAAATTTTACTAAAAGAGAAAACAATTGAATAAAATAGCAAAGTAGTTCCAAATTCTCTTCTTTAAGGTCTTTAACCAAAAACTTGAGTTATGTTAACTCAAAAAAAAAAGCATGTAAGCTTTCATAAGAGAAGACTATTTATTAATTCTCTAAAATGTGCTAAGCCTTCACAAATATCTTCAACACAGAAAAGAAGGGATTATGATGATGCTTACCCCACTTCCTGCTTCCTTGTTAGAAATTCTGACATGTTTAAATAAAATGAACAGATATGACTTACTGTTTTCTCTCATCAGAATGTCCTTCTTCTACATCTTCACATGACTGACTCCTTCTCATCCTTCCCTTGGCAGCTTTTGGCTCACTCAGAGAGATCACTTTTGACCATCAAAATACTACTGCTACTCCCATTCCCACTCTGACTATGAACTCCCCCAATCTATTCTAACCTAAAATTCTCATGTTTCTTTATATGAAATACTAAGACTTACAATGAATCAGCTGCTAATTTTTCTGCTCCTGCAACTTCTACCGATCAACTTGTACATGCAGTATCTAAATGCCATGCACATCGTTGGTATTCAATGATAGAAACTTTAATAGTCAAAACCTTAAAATATTATGAAGAAGGTTTCAAATACCAAACCACAATATACGACTTATCACTATACAAAGGATATCACTAATAATAGCCCTCTTAACATAGCCCTAATAAGAAATCCAAATGCCAATTTTAACACTCCCATTCTTTTCTGATACCACTACCATTTGATTGTCCTTCACAGTTTCAAAAAGTTCTTCAATATTTAGAAAGCACTAAATATCATCCTGATGGCATTGTCGTATTTCTATAACAATCTTTATAGTTTACCAATTATTTTTATTTGTTACTACATCTGTTCATTACATATACCTGAGAAGAAAGTATGAGTATCATTTTTATAAACAAGGTCATGGGCATACAAAGAGGTTCAATAATTTTGTTCAAGATTCCGTGGCTAGTAAGTGACACAGCCAAGATACTAACATGTCTTTTGATTTCAAATATGGTGTTTGTAACATTGTGCAAGACCTACGCTCACTAGTCTTTTTGTTACTCTCATGTATATCACAGAATAATGACTGGCCTTAGGGAGACCCGAAATAATTCTTTAGTTTTTAGATAAAATTAACTTCATAACACAACATGATTTTGTATGACTTCTAAGCCTTAGTTTTTGGCACTATACCAAACTAGTTCCATTAAGTGCATTTTGCCAATTAGCAGACTTATATGATGTAATAGTGGTGGTAGTACACTTAGCACATAATTTTTTTATTAAGTGCACATAAGAAAGTGAAAATCAAAATCAACAAAAAACTATACCAGAGACACTTTTAGGGGGTGGGAGGGGAGGGATTGGGGTCAGAATGGGGGGGCTGCAATGTTATATAAAAATAAATTTAAAATTAAAAAAAAAAAATAAAATAAAATAAAAACTCTAAGGGAATAATTTTATGGCAAACACAGAAGTGGGAAAGTAAAGTCAAAGAATGTTCTTTATATTTTGAATAACATTCCAATGCTTATATTTTAAAATGATACCATCCCTGGGTGGAATGAGGTCCCAGTGACAGACCCTCTACAACCAATGGCCACACCCACCCTCCCAGCAATCAGAACAAAGCCAAAGGGCTTTGGGGAAGGCTCTAGGATCACTCCAGATCCAACAATACTCCAGTACTATACCCAACATCTAATGAATACCCAAAGCAGTGGAAAAGACACACAACAAAACCCAAAACTACAGCAGAGAAAATCCACAACCAAAAATGGGCAGAAAAAATATGAAATGCCAGGCAAGCCATCAGGGAAATAACACACCACTAGAGAAACAAAACTCCAGAACCAAACTACAAACACATAGAAGAGCTCTTTGACCAATCAGATGCAGAATTCAAGTATACCATGGTTAAGAAAATGTCAAAATGGGAATAAACAAATCTCAGAAAGGGATGAACACTATATAGAAACCCAATCAGCAACAATGATTGAAAGTGTGACTTTAAACAGGAAATTAACAGAAATACAGGAGGAAACAAAAAAATTCAGGAGAAAGCCATGAAATTAGAATAAATCAAGTGGAAGAGCAAATCAGTGATCTCAAGAATCAAAAAGAGTAAGAAGCAAGATAGAAAAGGGGAAGGAATGAAGAAATCCTTTGAGAATTATCTGACAGCATGAATCACAGGAATCAAAGATGGAGAAGAAAGAGAATGGCACTGAGAATTGATTAAGGGAAATAGCGCCTGAGAAATTCCCAACCTGGAAAAAGGAAATGAACATAGAAATACAGGAAGCAAAGGGAACACCAAGCTACTGTTAGGGGGAAATTATGTCCTGAACAAGCTCCACATGGTTTTGTGGACTCCACCCCCACTCCAGACCAAAGCCATTGAGACACTGGGAACTACAAATCCCATCATCACCCAAAGGAGAGTTGCTGGGAACTGAGGGTGGAGCTAAGAAGCCAGGCTTGGTATAAAACCAGACAGGTGGGCCTTGGTGTTCCCCATGGCCTCTCAGCTCTTGGCTTGACTCTTGGCTTTTTGCCATTGGGATTCCAGCTCAGTGGAACTAGTAGGATGCATTCATGAATTATCTCCATATTTGTCCCTGAGTTAATCATTTCTTCATTTCCCCTTCTTTTGTAAATAAACCCTTTTAAACCTTTTTTTTGTGCCTGCAGTTGAGTATTATTATAACTCCCTTTTAAGCTCACGGGTAAGGACCCACAGTCAAGCAACCCGTTTCATTTTTAGGTTGCCCTGTAACACTACCTAGATAAAAGGAAAACTACTGCCAGTCACAGAATAGTGAAAACCCAAAGTCTAAGATACAGAAAAAAATAATGAAGCTGATGGGGTGGAAGAAACAGATAACCTATAAAAGAACACTGATAAAACAAACATATCTCCCTGAAGAAACAATATGGGCAGGAAGATAATGAAGTGACATTCAAAATACTCATAAGGAAAAATAATGCTAGATAATACTCTATCCTACAAGGCTTTCCTTTTTATACAAGAGAGAGATTGGAAGTTTGCATCCATTAAACCTCTCCTCCAAGAAATATTAAAAGAAACTTTAGGATCTAAAGCAGAGAGGGACATAAATTATAGTGAAATTAAAAGAACCACATCTTGGAACAAAATGGCAGTGATGGACTTTCATATGCAAATAATTACTCTAAACATTCATGGACTGAATTCACCAATAAAAAGACACAGAGTACATAGTTGGGTTAGGAAACTGAATCCAATCTTCTGCTGCCTCCTAGAAACAC